CCAGTAACACAAAATAGAACAGCTGCAGCAGTCCAGCAGAACAACAAGCAGCTCAAGAGACATCCAAGTTAGGCTATCAACACAAAAAGGAAAACAGCAGCAACAGTCCAGTAGGAACAACACAACAAGCAGCATTTCAGCAGCACCATCCATCATCAAGAAAACAAACCCAGCAGCTCAACGATGATAAAACCAGCAGCACAACAAAGACACCCAAGTCAGGAACCTTCACAGCCAAAATACAGAGCAAACCAGAAACAAACTATCCACTCCATCAGATCAACAAAAGGCACCCAAGCTAGGCTATTGGACATTGTGTTTGCTCTGCAAAAATAACCAGATTCTCTTTGTAAAAGAACAAGCAAAGAAGAGGTGGACATGAGTTTCGGTTACCTTTCTACAAAAGACACATTGAGCTCTTTGAAGGATACCAAAGGAAATTAATTTATCTTGGGTAGTAAGCTTCTCTCGGACTGCCAACCAAAGAATAAAGTTATACCTGGGCACAGCTCTAGAGAACCATACTATACTATGCCAGTTTTGAATTTGCCCTTTATTTCTGAGTTGTTTCCAAGCAGTATTGGTGTTGAACTCAAGTATGGGGGAAGGTAACCATTGTAAGGTGTCCTCATTATCAGGATTTGGTTTCATATCAGCAGAGATCCCTCTTTTTAGCTCCAAAAGGTCCACATGATCAACCAAAGGCCAAGCCCAATCCCTTCCATCAATAATGTTGCATATCTTAGCATCCATCCCTAGTCCAGAGGCTCTCAAAACTATATCCCCCCTGTTAGCATAAATAGGCCCTTCAGGATGCCAAGGGTCCAACCAAAGAAAAACAGTGTTCCCATTACCAATTTTATAGTTAACAAGGGGCTTAAAAACATCCCTCAAGCTCAAAATCTTCCTCCAAGCCCAGAAGGAATTTGAAGGAATTTGAAGGAATCTTAACGGACCAAAAACATCTCCCCTTCAACAAGTAGGTATCAACCAAGTCCCTCCATAATGAGCTACCAGAACAACAAACAACATTCCATACATGTTTAAGTATAGCAGCTCTATTCCAATCCTCAACCCCTTTAATCCCCAAGCCCCCTTCTTGCTTAGGTAAAGACACAGTATCCCATGCCACTTTTGCGCCTCCAGGCTATAAATCAGCTCCAGACCATAGAAACCTCCTCAAGATCTGTTCAATAAGAACAATGACTTTCTTGGGAATGATAAACATTGAGGACCAATAAGACTGAATGGCAAAGAGAACATAATTAATCAGTTGGACCCTTCCTGCATAAGATAAGAACTTGCTGCTCCATGAACTAACCTTCTCAATAATTCTGCCAACAAGAGAATGGCAATCAATAGCCTTAAGTCTAGTGGTAATAAGAGGAACCCCAAGGTACTTGACAGGTAGTTCCCCCATTCCAAATCCCAATTCTTGCACAATCATTGTTCTTATATCAGGATGCACACTAGATAGGAAGACATGACTCTTGGATAGATTAGGTTTGAGTCCAGAAAAGACCTCAAACACTTGAAGAACCTCTTTAATTGCTTTGATAGAATCAAGAGTGCCTTCTCAAAAGACCATAAGATCATCTGCAAAGCAAAGATGGGAAATGGACTCTTTCTCACACCTCCAATGAAATTTAAACCTTCCTTGTTGAGTGATAGACTTCATCATTCCATTAAAAACTTCCATAACAACCACAAAAAGGTAGGGGGAGAGTGGGTCACCCTGCCTAAGGCCCTTTTTCCCTGTAAAGTATCCAATTAATTCGCCATTAATACTAATGGAATACTTAGGGGTGGTAACACAAGTCTCAATCCAAAGTAACATCCTTTGAGGAAATCCCATCTGACTAAGCGTTTCTAATACAAACTCCCACCTCACATTATTGTATGCTTTCATGAGATCAATCTTAAGAGTGCACCTTAGAGCCCCTTTTTCCAAATGGTAATTTCTAAGCAATTCTTGTGAAAGTAGAATATTGTCAGAGATTCTCCTGCCTCTAACAAAGGCTACTTGTGATTTATCTACCAAATCGAGAAGGACCTCCTTGATTCTATTAGCAATAATCTTGGAGATGCATTTATAAATAACATTACAACATGAAATAGGTCTGTATTCAGAAAGTTTTGAGGGATTGGGAACCTTGGGAATAAGGGCAATGATTGTGGAATTAACCTCTTGGAGCAGCCTTCCACTCTCAAAGAAAGAAAGAATAGCATCGGTGACACCACGTCTAACACTATGCCAAGATTTCTTGAAAAAACATGCAGAGTAACCATCAGGCCCTGGGCCTTTGCCCTCCTTCATGGAGAACATGACCTTTTTAATTTCCTCCCTAGTAACCATTTGTTCCATTATACAAGCCTGCTGCCCAAAGATTCTTCGAGTAATGAATTGCCTTACCCAATGCATAGGAATCAGAGGCCGAGGGTGTGGAGTACCCAACAAATTTTCATAGTAACGTAGCACCTCCTTTTTAACCTCTCTCATATCAGTAACTTTGGAGCCATCCTCCTTCTCAATTGTAGTTAATCTCCTCTGGATTCTTTGCTTGCTAATGGTTTTAAAGAAATACCTTGTATTTTGGTCCCCCATGTTCAGCCATTGGACCCTGGATTTTTTTTTAAGAAAACTCTCTTCAGCTTCTCTCAAGTGGACATAATCTTGAAGCTTCCTCCTTTCCTCCTCCCAGATTTCTTCATTATGAGGATTTCTACCAAATTTCCTTTGAACATCATCCAAAGCTTGCTTAGCACCCATAGCTCTTATGGAGATGTCATTATATGAATTTTTGTTGAGTTCTTTTAGCGCTTTCTTCAGCACCTTCAATTTTTGGTAGACCCGAAACATAGGAGTGCCCCTGATCTGTGTATTCCAAGCATTGCTCACAATTGGAAAGAAACCCTGATGTTTGGTCCATAAATCAAAAAACTTGAAAGGTCTTCTACCCTTGGGTTGTCCCTCCCCAAGTCTAAGTAATGCCATTGAGTAGTCAGATACCCTTGGAACCAAGAAAAAACCTTCGGAAGCAGGAAATTCAGTAGCCCATGATTCATTAACCAAGATCCTGCCCAATTTGCTAGAAATAATACCACCATTATACCTTTTGTTGCACCAGGTGTATTGATTACCTGAGTACTTTAAATCCTCAAGCTCCACTCTAAAAAGACAATCACAGAACTCCTCACTACCTTTATCTCTGGCATTACATCCCCCCAACTATTCATCCATAGACCTCACAACGTTAAAATCACCCAGCACAACCCAAGCTTTATTCATCATATATGCATGCCTTTGCACCAAGCTAAGCCATAGTGGTCTTCTAAGCACTTTCGTATATTGGGCATAGACAAAAAAGGGAAAAAAGACTCTCTTGTTGGCCAAGTAGGTAGCCTTACAATGGATAACCTGATCATTTTGGTCCAACTTCTCAACCTCATAAACAAGAGGATCCCAGCATACCCAAATCCTGCCCGTCGTGGACCAATCATTGTTATTAATCAAATTCCAACTAGGGAACATAGTTCTAAAGATCCTTTCATTATTTACTCTCCTAATTTTTGTTTCCACCAAGCTACAAAGCCCAACTCCAGGTTGACTAATCTGTCTCCTCACTTCAGCTTGTTTAAGAGGGCCATTTAGCCCTCTTACATTCCAACATGAGATATCTGTCATTTAGGGTTTGAAATTGGAGGAGTACCCATCCCCTCATGAGATACCACCAGGCTACTTCTGGCCTGATTCTTGAGCTTTCCCCTTACTTTCCTGTTCTTTTTCCTTGTAGAGGTAGTCTTCAGTTGTTCAATTTCATCAACCATCTTGATTTTGTCAAGCATTGTACTTGGTTCAGGTGGTTCAAAATCACTAGCAACAACTACTTCCTCCCCTTGAGCCATAGACACTAGTGCCTGAAATTTGTTTGGGGAAGGAACAGCTCCACACAAAGCACTAGGACTAGTTTGGAGCTCAATGGTAATCTGGCCACCCTTCTCTTCATTTATTTTCTCCTTCCCTTTATCTTTGGCTTTATTCCAAGACTTCATATTTCCTCCATCCTTTGCAACCTCATGAACAACCACTAACTGGTTAATGGTGCCACCATTAGAGATTGCATCTTTTGCAAAAGACGTACCTTCCTTTACCAAAATCCTAGGCTCTATAAGAATCTTAGGACAACTATGTCCAAAAACCTTGCATTGGTCACATCTTGGGGGCTTCCATTGGTATTCCACTCTAATTTCCACTATTTCAATATCTCCCTCCTTTTCTCCTTCCATCAGTAAGTCAAAAGTATCTGGGAAAGGCTCCTCCGCATCAATTTCAATGCAAATTCTCGCAAAAAAAGTTCTACTACCTTCTTCAGTGAGTTTATCCATGTAAAGCGGTTTGCCCACTGCACTTGCTATGTAACTAAAACCTTTGGGTGTCTAGTATTCATGAGGAATATTAAAGAACTTTACCTAGACAGGTATCTTCCTCAGAACTTCCTTGTGCAATTTAAGCCTAGGTTGCCATTTCCTTAGAATAATGGGTTGGCCCCCTATATGCCATGGTCCACCCTCCAATACCTCATTCCGGTTACCAGTGCTTGAAAATCTAAAAAAAAAGAAACCCTCCTAATTGGCAATGACTTCAAACAAACCCTTCGTACTCCACATTCTCAAAGCAGATGCCTTAACCAAATTATAAGGCAATTTCTTGCCAATAAAATAACCCACAATGCTTGCCTCCCATTTAGAGCAACCCTCTTGAGCAACTTGCTTGGGAGGTTGGACCGTAATCCTACCATTGTTCTTTCTAGGGGCCATAAATTTCATCTTAATAACTGATCTAGGGTTATGCCTCACTTTGCGAATCCAAGATGTGCCAGATTGCTTTTCAACCAGAGCATTAGCAAAAGTCTCTTGATTAAGAGAAGAGTTGGAGGGAGTACCTGTTGATGGGCTTGCTGTTGCTCCAAAACTATGTTTTCCTAGCAGCCTGGCATTAGTTATGTTCTCATGGCCATTTCGAACATCACCCCTGCCACCCCAAGTGGATGTGTTACTGCTAGTCCTTCCACCCCTTGTGATGGACCTCTTCCATTTCCTCAACCAGTAGCCAAACCTCTATGGTTCAAAACCCCTTGATCAAAATTCCTATTGGTCTCAACCATCGTCCTTAGCATCTCATTTTCGAGCATTAGCTCTGCAAGGTTACCTGGCTCTACCTCGTTATTCCGGGTACTCTCTGAATTATCAAGGGCCATACCAAGGAAACTGCATTTTGCGATGGGTATTTCCATAGAAATATCAGCAGACCGCTCATCGACATAAACATCACTTGGAAAAGAGCATCCTTCCACCACAGTAGCAGCTCCATTTGGGTTAACCTCCATGACAATAGTATTCCCGTTAGATTCATTTCCAGAAGCTTTGTGCAACACTTTAATGACCTGTCCATTTGATGGACCCAACACCGAGCAGGCATTTAAGCTGAGAGGAGTAAGCTCCTTTTCAATTTCAAAAGGGATTTCCTTGAGGATTGCCATGGAAACAAACGGGAAAGTACAAAAGGGAAAAGACAAAGATGCACAAATGGTAGAAGGGGATTCATGTAAGATTAAAATAGGAGTTAATGGACGGATTTGGGCCTGGTGAGGAGTGCCCATAAGAAAGGGGGAAAGAGGCGGTGGGTGAGGTAGGGTTTCATCGCTTTTTTTTGTTGAAATAAATGTTATTTACTTTAATCTCTTATGTTCTGTTTGGTAACAAGGATGAAAAGTAAGAAAGATGAAAAATAAGAAAAATATATTTTCTATCATTTAAGGAATGAAAATATGAATGATACATTTTCCTTCTTTTTTGTTTGGTAGGATGGATGATAAATAAAAATAATTAAATTTTTTTTTTGTGCTGGTTAAGATTAAGAGTGACAATCGAGTCATGTTGAGTCAGGTTCGTGTTGAGTGATTATCGATTTTTTCGAACATTAGTCAAACCTAACTCAACTCATTTAACTAATTGTGTCGTGTCGAATTGACCTATTTAACGTTAATATTCTATATAATAATAAGTAAAAATATCTTTTTTATATAATAATTATGTCAGTACTTAATAAATAGTTAGAAATAATTAACATTCTATATCTATAATACTAGTTAAACATATTAGTTTCTTGTTAATTTCATATTACCATATAAACGAGAAAATAGAGAAGGTGTTTACTTTTAAATAAACGGGATGATGATGTCAATTTTGAGTTTGAAGCGTTGAACTGAATATAAACCGTTTATATTTCTTGTTCGTGTGTCAAATCATCTTTAAGTTCGTATCGAGTTATAATCAAGTTCATATTATAAAATTTGTGTCAAGTTTGAATCGTGTCATTGTGTTGAGTCAAAAATTTTCACCCCTAGCTAAAATGGAAAAAATATTTTTTTAATTTAAAATTTTATTTTTATTTTATTTAAATTTTTTAATTTTTTAATTTTTTAATTTATTTTTAAAATATATATATAAATGTATATTTTATCATTGTATTTTTATACGAAATTAATGGATACATAATGTATGTATATATCAAAAGATATATAGACAAATAAGATATATCTCAACACAAATAATTAATTTCCTATTCACTTTCCTTCCGATTTCGGAGGGGTTGATTTTGGTTAGTTGGAAGGAAAGTTATTTCATCTACTTTTTCATCATTCCTATTTCCCTTTTCTTACAAAACATGATGTTTTATTTATCTCTCAAATTTTCCATTATTCTATTTTTCTATCATACTAAACGGAGCACTAATATAAATATTCTATAAGTCCATTAAATACGATGAAGAAGTTGATTTCATTTGTTAAGGATATAATGATGCAGTATACATATGCACTTTCTTCCTCTTTTAACTTTTCCATCAACGCCAAATGGAGGAAAAAATCATCCCTCCCAATTTTCCTTCCTTTTACCAAACAAAAAAAAAAAGAAAAAGGAATGCTTCTTTCCATTTGGAATAAAAAGTGCATTACTTTATTTTCTTCAAATTTGCCATCATTTTCTATGAAAATGCAATGACATAAAATGAGTTACTTTCACTTTACATATTGGCAAAACCCTACTTCTAAGCATTAAATAGTTCTTAGTTCTAATTCCTTTAACTAGTCACTTTTACTTTGTTGGTATATCATGATTGAAGCATCTATATTTTGTTTATAAAAAAATTGATTATTATAGGAATTGTTGTAAAAAAAACTCTAGTGAGAATTATACTATCCTAATCATCAAATGACATTAAAAATATAGAGTATAGAAGTATCCCGACTTAGTGTATCAAGTTGTTTTTGGTTTTCTTGTGATATTATGTCATTATCGTTTCATACTTGTATCATATTTGTATTTTGCTTCTTAATGAAGTGATTGATATCTTATTCACTTCATGTTATATATTTTACTGTGGATTTAAGTTGAACCCACTATTTATATATAAAACCCCAGTCATACATGGTGGGGCCTCCGATTAATTAATTTTGTTTTTTTAGACGAGATAAGCTAAAAAAGAAAAATATTAAAAAATGTTAACAAAGTGACTTACCTGACAAGGATGTAAAATTTAAAATTAGCAGCAGATAAATTCAACTAGAAATAACGTTGGAAACAAAGGTAGCATAATTGTTCACTTCACCTAAATGTAACAACATTCCAAATACTGTAAAAACTGATTGGGCCATCCATTCCCATTTCCCATCTATGCTTGGAGGAGAAAACAAAACAACAGCACAGCTACAAGTCAAAAACACTACACTTTGACCCCCAGCATTATTGGATCCATTTCACTTTCTTCTTTTAACTAATGAATTTTTTTTACTGATAAAAAAAAACTAATGATCTTTTTACATCTTTTACTCAACTACGTTGCCCAGAATACAAAATTTGTTATTTTTTGGATGAAAAATATCAGTGTGTTGATACAAAGTCAAATAAAATGACACAATTCAGGGGCACAATTATACAACTTCCCATTAGATCTCTATCAGCTGTTAATCACTGTGTGAACTAATAAAGTGATTGAAGGTACAATAAGAGAAATGTAATAGTTGAGGAGATTATGTTTTAAAAAAAAAGTAATAATGGAGGGGGTCGATGTATAGTTTACCCTAAAACAAATTGGTATTGTTAAGAAATATAGGGTTATTTTTTTTATTAAGGGTAAAATAGTCTTTTATTTTCCCTGCCTTGTTTAGTTTATATATAGTCTCTTTGTATTTAGGTTAAATTACTTTCTTGTATTCAATTGAATTTTGCAGTATCAATAAAACTCTAGTCTCCTCTTTTCTTATCTCTTGTATTTCTTTAGATTGTTCAACATGGTATCAAAACAAAGTTTCATGGGACAAGGCTTAATCCCAAACACAGTTTACACGGATCCAACTGGTATTTGTTCAGTTTTTGCAATCTGGTATTTGTTTCGATCTGGTATTTGTTCTGTTTTTGTAATCTGGTATTTGTTCCGTTTTTGTAATCTGGTATTCTTTGTTTGTTGATTATGGCTACTACAAGAGACGATTCGCTTCAGTCTGTGAGTGTGAGGTTGGATGGAAAGAATTATTCATATTGGAGTTATGTAATGAGAAATTTTCTTAAGGGTAAAAAGCTATGGGGATATGTTAGTGGAATTTCTGTGAAACCTTAGAATACCGATGCAGGTTATGCTGATTTGATAGATTTCTAGGAAGTAGACAATGCAAAAATTATTACTTGGATCAACAATTCTGTTGAGCATTCTATAGGTACACAGTTGGCAAAGTATGAGACAGTAAAGGAGGTTTGAGATCATTTGCAAAGGTTATTCACTCAATCAAATTTTGCAAAGCAGTATCAATTGGAGCATGACATACGAGCTCTTCAGCAGAAGAATATGAGTATTTAGGAGTTTTATTCTGCTATGACAGATCTTTGGGATCAATTGGCTCTTACAAAATCGGCTGAACTAAAAGCATGTGGTGCCTATATTGCTAGTAGAGAGCAGCAACAATTGGTACAATTTTTAATGGCAATTCGTAGTGATTTTGAAGGACTTAGAGGTTCAATTTTGCATCGTTCTCCGCTTCCTTCTGTTGACTCAGTTGTCAGTGAGTTATTGGCTGAAGAGATACGTCTTAAGTCTTATTCTGACAAGGAAATTCTTTCTACTTATGATCTTTCTGTGCTAGTAGTACCTTCTAAACCATTCTCTCATAATCAGAATAAGCCTTACACAAGGCCTGCCTTCGACGAGTGCAATTTCTGTAAGCAGAAAGGTCATTGGAAGGCTCAATGTCCTAAGTTAAGACAGTAGAATCAATCGTATCAGCAATCTTAAGCTTGGAAGTCTGGCAAGCAGTCACAATCTAATGCTCCTAGACCACCTCAGAGTTACAAACCACCACAATCTAATACTGCAGTAGTAGTTTCATCAGGTCCTTTCACCGATTCTAGTACCTTGGCTGAGCAATTTCAGAAGTTTCTCTCTTTATAGCCACAAGCTATGTCTGCTTCTTCTTCAGGAGGTCAGTTGCCTCATAATTTTCCAGGTATGTCACATTCTGTATGGGTCTTAGATTTTGGTGCTTCACATCATATGTCTCCAGATTCTTCATCTTTTGCTTTTTTATCAGGTGTTGGTTCTGTTGTCACACCTCACTTGTCTCTCCCTAATTATCATATTTCAAAACTCGCATTAAATCTTGCTTCTGTTGGTCAGTTATGTGATTCTAAAAATTTAGTCACCTTTTTCTCTTCTTCTTGTTATGTGCAGGATCTGCAGTCTCAAAAGTTGATTGGGACAGGCCGTAGGAAGGGGGGACTATATATTTTTGGATGAGTTAAAATTTCCTAAAGCCCCTGTGGATGCCAAAAATCTCAAACGAGATTTTTAATTAATCGAAGTATTTCTGTTTCTTCTTCTCCATTTGATTTGATTCATTCTGATGTATGGGGACCTTCTCATGTTGCCACAAAATGAGGGTCTCGATATTATGTTTCTTTTATTGATGATCATACTCATTATTGTTGGATTTATTTAATGAAACATCGTTCTGAATTCTTTGAGATATATACAGCCTTTCGAGCTCTTATCAAAACTCAATATTCTGCTGTTATCAAATGTTTTAGGTGTGATTTGGGTAGGGAATACACTTCTAATAAATTTGATGAGTTGTTTGTCTTAGATAGAACTATTTCCCAAACTTCATGTACAGATACTCTTGAGCAAAATGGTGTTGTTGAAAGAAAACATAGGCACATTGTTGAAACCACTCGTTCTCTCTTGTTGTCTTCTTCTATTCCTAGTGAGTTTTGGGGTGAAGCTGTTGTTACTGCTGTAGGTTTGATTAATACAATTTCATCTTCTAATATTTCAGGTGTTTCTCCTTTCGAAAAGTTGTGTGGGTATGCCCCTAATTATTCTTCATTTAGAGTTTTTGGTTGTACTTGTTTCATTCTTCGTCCTCATGTTGAACGCAACAAGCTGTTATCTCGATCTGCTATTTGTGTCTTTCTTGGTTATGGTACAGGTAAAAAGGGGTATCGTTGTTTTGATCCAATAACTCAAAAACTTTATGTGTCTCGTCATGTTATTTTTCTTGAGTATATACCTTTCTTTTCTATTCCATCCACTACTTATAGCTTGACTAGATCTGATCTTATTCGTATAGATCCTTTTTCTGAGGTTTCTGATAGTTTGTCATCTTAGGTTTTTAGTACTTCAAATACCAGCACTGATCATTCTACAGGTACTGACACCTTACTTTCTAGCACACCTGAAGCTAACTCCACTCCTATGGTCCCTCAAGCTCCATCTGAGATTGTGGATCCACCTCTACGTCAATCCACACGCATTCGTAAGTCCACAAAGTTACTAGATTTTACTTATTCTTGTTATTCTTCATCCTTTACTTCCTTTTTAGCTTCTATTCATTGTCTCTCTGAGCCCTCTTCCTATAAAGAGGCAATTCTTGACCCTCTTTGGCAACAAGCTATGGATGAGGAACTTTCTGCTTTGCATAAGACAGGTACTTGGAATTTGGTTCCTCTATTTCCTGGTAAAAGTGTTGTTGGTTGCCGTTGAGTGTATAAAATTAAGACCAATTCTGATAGATCTGTTGAGCGATACAAAGTTAGGTTGGTTGTAAAAGGGTATTCTCAACAGTATGGTATGGATTATGAGGAGACATTTACTCCTGTTGCAAAAATAACTATTATTTGTACTCTTATTGCAGTTGCTTCGGTTCGTCAGAGGCATATCTCTTAACTTGATGTTAAAAATGCCTTCTTGAATGGGGATCTTCAAGAAGTTTATATGGCTCCCCCTCCTGGTGTTTCACATGATTCTGGGTATGTTTGCAAACTCAATAAAGCGTTATATGGTCTCAAACAAGCACCTCGTGCTTGGTTTGAGAAATTTTCTGTTGTGATCTCTTCCCTTGGATTTACTTCTAGTAGTCATGATTCTGCTCTTTTTGTTAAGTGCACTGATGTAGGTCGTATCATTCTGTCTTTATATGTTGATGACATCATTATTACTGGTGATGATATTAATGGTATTTCAGTTTTGAAGATAGAGTTAGCTAGACAGTTTGAAATGAAGGATTTGAGTTCTCTATAATATTTCTTGGGTATTGAGGTAGCCTGCTCACCTAGAGGTTATCTTCTTTCTCAGTCGAAATACGTTGTAGATATTCTTGAGCGAGCTAGACTTACTGATAATAAGACTGTAGATACTCTCATTGAGGTTAACGCAAAGTATTCTTCTTCTGATGGTTTACCTTTGTCAAATTCTACTTTATACCATACTATTGTTGGGAGCTTGGTATATTTCACTATTACTCGTCCAGATATTGCATATGTTATTCATGTTATTAGTCAGTTTGTTGTTTCTCCTACTACAGTTCATTGGGCAGCGGTTCTTCGTATTTTGAGGTATCTTCGGGGTACAATCTTTCAGAGTCTTTTACTTTCATCCACCCCTTCCTTGGAGCTGTGTGCATACTCTGATGCTGATCATGACAGTGATCCTACAGATCGCAAATCTGTTACTGATTTCGGTATCTTTTTGGGTGATTCTCTTATTTTTTGGAAGAGCAAGAAATAATCTATTGTTTCTTAATCTTCAACCGAAATAGAATATTGCACTATGGAATCTACTACCAAAGAGATTGTTTGGTTACATTGGTTACTTGCAGATATGGGAGTTTCTCTTTCTCATCCCACTCCTATGCATTGTGACAACCAGAGTTCTATTCAGATTGCTCACAACTCGATTTTTCATAAACGAACTAAACACATTGAGATCGATTATCACCTTACTCGTCATCATCTCAAGCATGACACCATTACTTTGCCCTTTGTTTTTTCTTCTTTGCAGATTGTTACTAAGTCGCATTTTATTTTCCGTTTTCATTTTCTTGTTGGCAAACTCTCAATGCTTGTCGCTGCTGCATCGTGAGTTTGAGAGGAAATGTTAGAAAATATAGAGTTATTTTGTTTATTAAGGGTATAATAGTCCTTTACTTTTCTTGTTTTGTTTAGCTTATATATAGTCTCTTTGTGTTTAGGTTAAATTGCTTCCTTGTATTCAATTGAATTGTACAGTATTAATAAAATTATAGCCTTCTCTTTTCTTATCTCTTGTAATTTTTTAGATTGTTCAACAGATATAAATAGATGTGCTCCGACAATCTTCATTACATGTACTTGCCTTAGGTTTGTTACTTATAGCTCCCAAGTACTTCTCACTTTATTCTTGGAGAGCGTGAGAGTGAGAGAGAGAGAGAGAGAGAGAGAGAGATGATGAATCTGTCCAACGGTTATTCACTTTATCTTATTGTACTTGTGAGCTCACTTCCTAATCTCTCTCTGTTATCTGGTGCTGATCCCACAGATGGGTTCACTGAAATTCCGTTGACAGAAGCTAATTTTTTACTGCAGAAGCCTTATGATATACCTCTTGAAGAGCGGTACAGTTACGAAAATGGAGTTCACAAGATGTGGGTTTATGCTGATGATAAGCCACACGCCCTTGGTAGCAACACCCAACCACGCACTGAAATTAGCATTCAAGTATTCACTACCTATCTTCCCTCTAGATTTACACTTTTTGTACCATTGATGCATGTGTGGTAAAGTTACGAATCAACTGGGTTAATTTAGAACTTAAAAAGATCAGATTTGGCTAACTTGAGATGGAATTACATAGCTCAAATAAGTTGGGATTGATTCTAAAGTCTTGCATAAAACCCAACTTTTGGGATGGATTTCAACCAATCCGCCGTATCTTTATCTATTTTAGATCTTACATTTTAGTATGATACTGAGTTTGATGCGGTATTACAAGTTTTGACTCAGTTAGATTTAATTATAACTTAAAAGAAGAATATACTTGAAGCCAAAATATCTAAGAGTAATGGTGTATCAAAAAATAAAGAAGTCCAATAATTATAATTATAATAATTCTAATAGACTATGGCAGCTACCACAAGGTGGACAACATTAGCAAACAAGCTTCAATTTTATATCCCAATAACCATACTCAATTCAAAAAGAATAGTTTGATATGGTAAAGAAAGTCACTATTCAAAAATATCACTGCAACTTACTTAGGAGGGAAAATTACAGTTGAACCCCTTGAACCATGGGCTCAATTTCACTTTCTCTTGAACTATTGTACTTTCCCATTGCCCCCTCCCCCAACTACTTGAATTATTTCAACTTGCCCCCAAAATGCAAACAGCTGCTATTTTTTTGGACAAAAATTGTCAACGTGTCCAAACAGAGTGAAAAATATATATAGCGCAGGGGATAAAATAAAATAATTTTCTATTAAAGTTATAAAGGTTGTTAATAGTTGGGGTGATATGAAACAAAATCATTGTTAGTGCAGGGGCTTGACTACTGTTCGGGAGCATGGAAATTCGAAGGCAATGTTTTTGTGCCAAACGGCACCTCAGGTGCTACAATAGTGCAGATCCATGGTGCAGCACATGGAAATACAACTATGCTTTTAAGGATCTACAACGGAGAAATGAGGTACTACACTTATGAACTCGTGGATGCTACAAACCTCTATGATAAATGGTGTAGGGTAAATTTAATCCACAACGTTGATGGAGGATTGGTTACAGTTTTTATCGACGGCGTACAAAAGTTTGAGACTCATGATCATGGCCCTGGAGACTTGTATTTCAAATGTGGGGTTTATGGTGCTCCATCAAATATAAGCTACTATATGGAGTCAAGGTGGAAAGACATTAAAATTTACAAAAAGTGATGGAGAAAGATTGAATTGTATGTGCATGTAATGCAAATGATCATTTGAAGCTTTTAATGGCAATTGGATCTGAAAATCTTTAGTGCACTTGTGAGGGCATAGATACCCTACACATCCCACGTACTCGACACAAAAGTGACATAGGCTTAACGTGTTTTGATTTACTTTTAGCCAGTTTGATTAGTAAATAGGTAAATCTGCCATATATGTTAAGTAAATGGACACGAACACTACTAAATATGCCTAATAGATGTCATGATTTTAACCTGATTATATATGATTATTAATGGGTCAAAAATAATCATGGTTGAATAAATTTTAATATGACATGACATACAAGGTTTTTTTTTTTTTTGATAAGAAATGATGATAATTTTATTAACGGCAGAGATGAGGAATCATGTAGGTGGGTAGGTTGCAAAAAATATGGACAAACCCCCTCCATGTACAAGAATCAGTAACCTCTAAAGCAAACTTAGCTGAGCATTTGGCAGCACTGATGCCTGATCTTCGAGTCCATATAGCAAAGAAGCTAGCAAAGTTGTTTACATAACTATTTATCTACTTGAAGCAGTATTCTTTCATAACTCAATTCCACAGCAATTTTGACTGTTGTTGCTGCCGCTAAGGCCTCAGTATTCTTGCACGACATGACGTCATATGCTTTGAGGTTATTTTAATCAATGACGCAGAAGAAGAAAATTAGAGTTTTCATTGATGGGATTCAAAAGTTTCAAACTCTAGATCATGGCCTTGGAGACTTGTATTTTGAATTTATCGTTAACAAATCTTAATTCACAAAACACGTGAGAATTGTGATTATTTTTTAACATTAACGAAGTGTTGTACAAAAGGGCTAAATCACAAGGAAAAAGCGAAATTTGCAGTTGAAAGTATTTAGTGCACCGAACAAGGGCACATGTACTACCATAAACAATGCGTACGAATTATGTAAGTGTGTACCTACGCTACAAGAGTTGGGGTCTTTTGGGAAAAAAAAATTTATGGTAGCTATGTTTACCGTCATAAAAAAAAAACATGTTTTGAAGAAAAAAAAAAGGTTTTTTGTAGCAGTAGTATTTTCATAAAAAATTTATTTAATGTTGACGGGTCCGACCCAGCTTCAGAGGTCCAATCCATAATTACATACTAGGCCCACCTCAAATATATAGATCAAACCCATTACATAATGGAGGAAGTTAGGTTCGGTCAGTCGCGCCATCTAGGGAGAGCCAAGTCAGTGCGTCATCTTGAGAGACTCAGTCTACAACTGACACGCGAGAAAGATCTTCGTGAGATATGTACGTTGCCACCTCTATGAAGCTGTTTCACCCATTACGTGAATGACGTCACTTCCACAAACTACTTCACTTGTTACAAGGATGACGCATCAATCTGTTAGAGAGACACCTATAAATTGAAAGCCCATTTACATAAGGGAACATCTCTCACAACATCACTCACATCTGAGTACTCTACACTCCTTGGGCAATAAAACACTCATATCATCGTAACTCTCCATAGTAGAGTAGATCACCTAGACCAAACCACTTAATTAATGTTTCTTGTGTTTAGTCTCTTTCTTAATTACTGCATTAAATACTTGACAAGTAGTGCATAAACACCATTTTGCGCATCATCAAATATCATAAATACAACGGTTGAAGCCGCCATAAAAAAAAATTTGAGGCTCGCTTATTATGGGGAGACATACCATCACAACACATCGTCATACTAAGTAGAGTCTTAAAAAAATTTTGTGACGGCAACAATCTATCTTAAATAATATTTGTGATGGTAAATAAATTTTTTATAACAGCACTATCACCACAAAAAACTTAACAACACTATCACCACAAATAAATGTAAGAAATTTACTATATTTGTAAGTATTTTTACCACTGTTGTGATAATTATTTAGCACAACAGTAATAAAAATATTCACAATAGTGATAAAAAAAAATACTAATAAATGTGATAAATTTCGATACGGTACAAAAATTTATTTTTTTCGATCCCGTAGACAACTACTGATGTTTATTTACATAGATACCAATTGTGAAAACATGCACCAATGGTATGTTGATTGCAAGAAATATCATATTCATTTTAAAAAAGCAAACAGTGAGTTCAACATCAACCGTAGAATGATCTAACAAAATAAAATTCACAATATATTAAATTATAAAATGACCGCAACTTCATTGTAAAAAAAAACTATTGAAGCAATAAAATAAGAGATAAAAAAAAGTAATTAAATAAGTTGTAAACCAAAAAATTGGATATAAAAGATAAGGCAAACTTCATTTTATAAAAATAGGGCAAACTTCATTTTATCCCTCACAGTTTACCTCGATTGCAGAAGACCTTCCTGTGACTTGAAAATTTGACATAACCCTCAAGTCGTTATTGGACCAAAATGCACGGCTTAACACCGTTAACAAAACGGGTAAAATGACTTTGATATTCCTCTACTCTTCTTCTCCAACAACTTCACCCATTCTTCTTATGTGACACTCCAACCAATTCTTCTTCTCTAGCGTAGCCCAAATTAAACAACCCATCAACTGTGATCTCCACTCCCATTAAACAAAAAAACTGCTAATGCCCATTACAATTAGCTTCATCACAACAGAACTTCACCAGCCCCCCATTACATTAAATTCGGCAGCCCACCCACCCCAATGTCTGTTGGTTAGCCAGGGCCAGAAATATACCACAAATAAGATATGAACAAAGAGGATATCTTTATTTCTCTCTCTGAAAATAAAAAACAAGAATTATTACAAAGTATTCTCACAGAGATCTCTCCCGAATCTCTCTCTCTCTCTGTTTCTTCCTCACTATCTTGACCATGCTTCTGGCCTTCACCAAGCTTCCTATTTATAGGGAGTTTTCTGGCCAAATAAGTCAAGGAAGAGGGAACACATTTAAGGCTTTGGCAAGCTTTGTCAAAGCTTCAGGCATCCACCGGCAAGCTGCCAGTAGGGTGACTACTAGGATGGGCTACTAGGTAGTAGAATGGGCTACTGGGTAGCCTTTGATGGAGCTGGATTCTTCAAATCTCCCTCTCCAAAACATCAGAAGAGAATGTAATCAGACATTCATCCAGGCTATCTCTCTGCACAGCTTAAGCTTATCCCAAGTAGCGACTTTTGTCAACATGTCTGCTGGATTCTCCTTTGTGTGGATCTTCAATAGTTTTACTAACTATTGCTCCATCACTTCGCGTATCCAATGATAGCGAATATCAATATGCTTAGTCCGGGAATGGTGCATTGAGCTTGATCTAGTCTAGAGCACTTTGACTATGACAATACACCTTGTATTCCTTCTGCTTAATACCTAGTTCTTAGAGAAACCGCTTTAACCACGACATTTCCTCACTAACTTTCACTGCGGCAATATACTCTGCCTCTATTGTGGATAAAGTTATGCACTTCTACAAACTTGGCTGCCATAACACAGCTCCCCCTACAAAAGTGTAAAGAAATCCTGATGTAGATTTCCTACCATCAAGATCTCCTGTTATATCTAAATCTGTATAGCCTTCCAAAACTGGTTCAACTCCCCCATAACACAAGCATATCTTCGATATACCCTTAAGGTATCTAAGAATCCGCTTGACCGCCTCCCAATATTCTTTTCCTGGATTGAAAAAAATTGCTCACCATGCTCACTGCATGGGCAATATCTGGCCTTGTACATACCATTGCATACATTAGACTCCCAATTGCTGAAGAGTAAGGAATCATTGTCATATCTTCTATCTCCTTCTTTGATGAGGGACATAAATTCTTGCTCAACTTGAAATGATTAGCCAGTGGGATGCTGACTGGCTTGGCAGTGTCCATGTTAAACCTCTGGATCACCTATTCAATGTATTTCTCCTGTGATAGCCACAATTTCTTGGTTTTCCTATCACGAACAATCTGCATGCATAGTATCTGCTGAGCTAGGCCTAAGTCTTTCATATCAAAGGACTTGAACAATTCCTTCTTCAATTGGCTAATATTTATTGCATCTTTTTCGACGATCAACATGTCGTCAACATAAAGTAGGAGTGCAATGAAATTGTCATACGAGAATCTCTGAATGTAAACACACTGATCTGCTATAGTCCTCTTATAACCTTGACCCACCATGAATGAGTCAAATTTTCTTATACCACTGCCTGGGCGCTTGTTTGAGGCCATATAGACTCTTCTTCAACTTGCAGACCAGATTTTTCTTTTTTGGAATCTCGAAACCTTCTGGCTATTCCTTATAGATTTCTTCATTTAGATCTCCATGAAGAAATGCAGTTCTCACGTCCATTTGTTCAAGCTCCAAGTTTAAACTGGCTACTAATCCAAGAATGACTCGAATTGAGGTCATCTTAACAACTGTTGAGAAAATCTCGTCAAAGTCAATTCCTTCCTTCTGTTGGAATCCTTTAACGACCAATCAAGCCTTATATTTCACAAATTTTTCACTGCCGTCTTTCTTCAACTTGAACACCCATTTATTTTACAGTGCTTTCTTGTATTTTGGAAGTTTCACAAGCTAATAGGTTTGATTTTTCTGCAGGGAATCCATCTCATCCTGCATGGCTTGCATCCACTTGTCTTTATTCGTATGAGTTTGTGCTTTTTGGAAGCTCTCCAGTTCCCCCTCATCAGTAAGCAGAATATTATCTGACTCCGGATATCTAATCGACGGAATGCGTCCTCTTTCAGATCTTTATGATTGATGCTCATCGGCTATATGAGGTACACCATCCTCTGGTTGTTGTGATGGTCCTGTAACATCTGGTGGAGGGGGTTGTTGCTCCCCCTGCTCAACACCCTCATCATCATCTTGCTTTGCTTCTATAGTTTCATCCTACACTTCGTCATTATTTGTGGCTAACTGTAACAGTGCAGGGTCTGGAACAATGTCCTGTGCACTGGAACTAGAACTATTGGACTTTGTGGGATTTTTAAAGTCCTCATACGCTTGTTTTCATGGAACACCACGTC